CTACACCCCCCCCCACTCCCACCTCCTTTCCCCTGACATCAGTGATGTCAGTCTCAGGGGTAGAACACAAATTCTCTACCCTGGAGAGGGACGCACAATCCAGGCAAGAGCCACGCCTTCTTTCTATCTTCTTCCTCCCCGACTCCCTACCCGCCCCCAGAAGAGCAGCTGGTCCTGTTGATAATACCCCTTCCCCCATCTTACTCCCGATCAGGAGTTGGGCAAGGCACTAAGATGGAGAATTTATAGAGGAGCCCTAAGGTGAGGTCCATTGTTCCGGGGGCTGGAGCTGTCCCCGGTGCTGGAAGAGAAGACCCATGAGATGGTGGGGGGCGGGGGGAGGGGGGAAGAGGGGAGCCCGGCATCTAGGGAGCCAAGTAAAGAAACCAGGGAAAGGAAAACGGGATAGGACAGTTGGGCAGCTTGAGGGCCAAGGAAGGAGCTGTGGACGCGTAGGGAAGCAGGTCGCAGAGTCTGGGGGGAAAGGGCAGAAGGGACCCAGAAAGGAAAAATGAAAAGGGGGGTGGGGTTGGGAAGGGGAGAGCAGAGTGAGTTGAGTGCAGAAAGAGGACTGTATATTTTCCAGAAAAGGAACCAAGAATAACTAAGGTTTCTGGCATTTGCCGACGCCCCCTTCTCTCCCTCTGGGGGGTTTGTGAGTATAAGTGCGTGGGCAGGGAGGCGGCGGCGGCGGCGGGAGCTCTCACTTGTAAGCTTCTTGAAGACCAGGACACCATTTAATTCAGCATTTAACTGTTCGCAGTGCCTAGCACAGTGTCTCACTCGTGCATAGTTGGTGCTTAACAAACGCGCAATGAGTAAAACCTCTGACAAGAGTAGATTCTTGATTCCTTTCCTGGGAAGACCCACAGCTGCCAAAGGCGGAGAAACACAATTACTCCTTCGTTTGCTTCTCCCTTCTGCTGGGGTCCTTGAGTGGGACTCTCTAATGGAGTCAGGTAGCACAGAGGAGTGTGGGAGCACATTTGGGGGCAGTACTCCCCTGAACACTGTACTTCCACGGATGATCCGCATGTCCCTAATCTTAGGGAGCTTGGCCCCTCCATGCACTTGGCCCACTCTTAGCACCCCTCGATGCAGAGAGTTGCCGCCGACAGCAAACCTCCCCAGCTCCTCCCCAGCCGTGGCAGCCCTTGCTTTCCATCAGGTGCTCACTGACTGGCTCACAGCTTTTGTGGAACACCCTTCCTCCCTGTCATTCCCTTCTTCACCCCAGGGTGGAGCTTGTGTCTCCACAGAGGCTTTGGTGTTTTTGAAATGTGTCCCCACAAAATCCCAGCGGCCTCCATTCCTGAACTCCTCTTCTGAAAGTGAAATGATAGTAACAGTCAGCGCTTAGAGCACTAAGAGTGTCCCAGGCATTGTTCCAAGTGTCTTGTATTTAACAACTCATTAAACCCTAATCCCTACCCTATGATATAGATTCTATCATTATCTCCAAATAGAGATGAGGAAACCTAGGCACAGAGAGATTAAACAACTTGCCTAAGACCATGCGGCTAGCAAGAGGTCTAGTTGAGATGGGAGCCTGGGTAGTCTGGCTCCTGAGTTCGTGCATTTAACTCCCACATCAAACACTTCTTTTGGGAATGGGAGCAGTGGTTAAGCCTGACCTTTCTTCCTCTTCTGTCTTCATTTAAGCCCTTGGTGAGAGACAGTCCTTTCTATGGCTTGATTCCCTGCTGAACACCTTCTATCCTTCCTTAGCCTGGGTTTCTGGGGCCATGAGGTGCATATGTTTGAAAGAATGTGTGTGTGGACTTGATTACACTTGGTAATATGGTCTTCCCAGTAGGGGCCCGCCCCTAAGATGGGGGTGGGGAGGTGGTAGTGGACTCAGTGGTGGTGGTCAGAAGATGTGATGGCAGTGCCAGGGAATCAAGAAGTGCAAACACATCTCAAAAGTAACTTTCCACCCACCTACCCCACCCCCAGACTCCTTTTCTGGCCTTCTAATCTGATCCTGGTATTTATGGGGATGCTAAATAGATCACACCCTCTGAGGATGGAGAAGGGGAAGACCCCACGGCTCTGTTGATCTCATTACTCTGTGTCTTCTCAGCAGATCTATTGCCCTGCTGCTCATTCAGGCTTGGGGCTAATCATATTAATTGAAATATTAAATATTCACAAAAATGAATTATAATGAACTCCCCTCACTTCTCCTCCCAGTCAGTAACTGGGGAGACAGCTGTAGGCAACAAAAGCCTCTAATCCTTCATTTAGTTTGTGATCCCCAGATTGAAGGTGTCGGTCTGAGACAAGAGGCAGGTTTTAGGGGAGAAGAGGTGGGGGCTCTTTCAGACCCTCCTTGCTGAATGACTGTGGGCACATCTCTGGTGTTCTTTCAGGCCACGAGGGATGGGAGCCCTGTGAGGTAAAGACTGGGTGAAAAAACCCATGACTCAGGGGCCCATTCTGTGGAGTTTCTCTCCAGGAGGAAATGAGGCTTTCCAAGCCCTAATTCCTCCAAGATACTTTCTCTGCCCCACTATCCCCAAGCTCACTCTCTTTCTTTCTTTCTTTTTTTTAAAAAGATGAACGGTAAGGGGATCCCAACCCTTGACTTGGTGTTGTCAGCACCACGCTCTCCCAAGCGAGCCACAGGCCGGCCCCCTCACCCTCTTTCTTATTCCTTTGCAGTCTAAGTCAAACTGACCTTTGTAAAAAGATTATTGACTTTATAAAGGGAGAGCTGTTTTCCTGGGTTTAGATCGGTAGGGGATGAGAAATGCCAGATAATTGGGATATTTTTCAGAAAGGACAAAATGTGGGGTGTGTATGTGGGCAGAGTGGCTAGTCATCAAATACTTACTGGCTTCACTGACTGAATGCAGGGTGAAGACATCTACAACAGAATTTATGAAGAATTGATTACATAACCTTCCTGCCCTCAAGTGGCTTCTATCTCAAGTGGAAGACAGGCCAACACAATATGTAACAGTGAGTACTGAAATGCTGTTAAGAAAATAAAAGTCACCTCTTTCATACACGGACATTTGGGCCACAGGATGTGATCAGTCATGAAAGGCTTGACTGATTCCAACAGCACAAGAAGATTATAGACTGGCAGAAGGAGGCCATCAATTGTTTTATGCATAGGGGTCAGGGGATGGGGAGCGTTGTACATATGTGTGTGTGTGCATGGGTGTAGTTTTGCTGGTTTAAACTCCGGTGCTGTCTAATATAATGCAAGCCACACATATATCATCTAAAAAATTCTAGTAGTTACATTAAAAACGTGAAAAGAAACAAGTGAAATTACTTTTATTTTTTGTGGGGGTGCAGCTGGCCAGTACAGGGATCAAACCCTGGATCTTGGTGTTATCAGCACCATGCTGTAACCAACTAAGCTAACTGGCCAGCCCTAAAATTACTTTTTTTTTTTTTGGCAGCTGGCAGGTGGGGTGATCTGAACCCTCGACCTTGATGTTATAACACTGTGTTCTAACCAACTGAGCTAATTGGCCAGCCCTGAAATTACTTTTAATAACACATTTTATTTAACCTGATATATCCAAAATACTGTCTCAACATGTAATAAATATAAAGATTATTAATAAGATATTTTACATTATTCTTGTCGTACTAAGTCTTCAAAATCCAGTGTGTATTTTACATTCCTAGAACAGTTGACACAGCCACATTTCAGTGCTCAGGAGCCACAGGTGGCATGTGGTGGCCATATTGGCTAGTGCAGCTCTGGAGCCTCCACCACTGGCTTCTGGGGGGTGTGGGGTGGGGAAAGACAGGTCTTGGCCAACAGGAACTATCACCTCTGGTTAACCTCTGCTGGGGAAAAATCACTTCTGACAGATGGCAGCTTATTTCCCTCTCACTCTATTAACTCTCTCTCCTAAAAAGCAAACAACCAAATGATTACTAACCTGGATGGGGTTTGTGGGAAGAGGCTTGGAGCCCACTACCTAATTTACTTCTTGTGGTTTTCACTGGCTTGGGAACTGCCAACATTTTCACTTCTTTTCCTTGGTCTTTGCTGGGAAGGATAGAGGCAGACCTCTGAGAGACTCCTCCAAGGCCATGGCCTAATACTGAGTTTGTTTCTCGTGATTTTTCCTTGCTCCTTGGGGCAGTTGTTCACACATCTGAAAAGACAGCCTCCCTTTTGGGTTCTCTTCCCCAGCCTCTCAGAAGACCTCTGCTGGGCACAATCTCTGTGGGTGGAGAAGCTCAGCATGTGTGTATTGACAGGCTCCTGCCCTTTCCAGGCAGCTATTTTCAGCTCTCTGGCTTTATGTTTCATTTTCCCTTCTTAATTAGATACTAGAAGAACAGATCTTGAAGACCAATTTCCTTTCTCCTCCCCTATTCAATCGGGAGTGAGAGAAATAATTTAGAATTTATGAGGAGCCCAGGGTGAAAAGAAAATAAATCTACACAAGAAAGTCAGTCCAAGAGGGGAAATTCTGACAGGATGTCCCCCAGATCCTTTCCAGCGTCTTTAGTCTCAGAACTTTCCTTCCTTTGCAGAACTCAGTTTGTTCCATGCACTGGGGTGCTTTCATGTTGTTTTAAGAATCCAAGACTTCAATGTCAGGTCTCTACAGGACAGATGGAAGGGTTAGCTTCTGGGCCAGTGGAAAGGGAAGGAGCCTGGGTTGACTTTCCTCAGTACTAGACTTCCTCCAGCTTCTGCCCAAGTAAGAGAGTCAGGAACCAGATTCTGGGAGATCCTGCCTTGGAACCTCTTCTGTTTTTGCTCTAGAGCTAAGGAAAAAACCATTTGAGGTTGGGTAGGGTCAAGAAGAAGAGCTCATTCCGTATACAATAAAGCCCAGAAATCAGTCTCCAAATACGGGAAAGTAGATCCTGTAGAGGCCCTGGGATTTCACGCCTCAGCTCCACCGCAGACCCCACATGGCTTCCCTCAGCCCCTCCCCCCGTCGCTGGAGAGGGCCGGGCTTGGGGGCGGGGCGGGGCCTCGCTAGCGTGCCGCCCGTCGTCTTGACGACCGCAGCAAGATGGCGACGCTGCGGGGCAGGGTGCTGGGGCCCGACCCCGGGGCGCTAAGCCCTGCGCAGCTGGAGCAGCTGCGAAACTTCAAGGTGGGTGCGCCCGCGTCCCCCGCCCCCGCCTCCATCAAAGTGCAGCTCCCGCAGGACAGGGGCCCCCAGTTAGGGAGGAGGGCTCCGAGAGAAGGGGAGCGGGGCCCGTTCCCAGATAAAGGGGCGGAGGGTTCGCGGGAGACCCCTGGCGGACCTCTGGGCTCCTGGGGCCCTGAACAGAGCCCGACGTGCCTCTGAAAGTGCAGAGAAAACCAAAGCAGGGATCTGGCTGGAGATGGGCCGAAATTACTGCCGTACGCCAAGTTAGATACAAATAAGGACTTACCGACTGCCGGGATCCGACCTTAGCTAAGGCCCCCAAGCCTGAGTAGGAAGCGGCATGGAGGTGTTCAGTCTAGAAGATGGGCAGCTTAAACTTCGAAGGATCGTCGGGGAAAGGCCTGGGTTAAATGCTCTCGATATTCCCCCAGTCCTTCATCCATCTAGGGTTGAACCCTAAATCGGTCTCCTTATGGCGCCTGACCTTTTGGCCTTGCCTCCCAGATTCAGACTCGGATTGCTAACGAAAAGTACCTGAGGACCCACAAAGAAGTGGAGCTGCTCATAAGTGGCTTCTTCAGGTAGGTGGTTTTCCAGGCTGGCCTGGGGCAACTAATTGAAAATTTTACCAAATCTTGTTGGGGATAGATGAATATGAATGTCGCCTTCTTTCTTTAAACACTCCCTATTGCTTCTAACTTCCTAAAAGTTAGAAAATACCCTACGATTGAACTTTTTCTAACTCTGGGATTTGTGGCACCAAGGGTTTTCTTCAGTTATCTCTGGAGGCTTCCTTCAGTTACCTCTAAATTCTTAAAAATATTAATATTCGCTCACTTTAGCTGTAAGGATATATACCTTATGACACTCGGAAGAGGGAATTTGGCATTGAATAACCCAACAGGCAGCCACTGGGTATTGAACACTATTCTCAACCAGGGGAGCTTAACAAGATCACTAGAAGAACTTAAGTAAAATTCAGTTGTCTGGCCTTTCTCTGCCTGAGAACACTGTCGTAGAAAAACTGCAAGGGTTGGAAGCCACGCTTTTCTTGGGGAAAAGAAGACTATTTTCTAGTTTATCCCTGGTGTTTGCTTGAACAGAAAAATCTCCTCATGGGATGAGAGGCAAGCAAGCAAGCAAATAAATAAATAAATAAACAACTAAAAACAAATCATAGAGCAGCAGTGGATGAAAACAAAAAACTGGCTATAGACAGGCGAAGTTTAAATAGTAATAATGGCTTCCATTTTCATGCACTGTGTTGTTTCCCTTCATTAGCAGTTATCACACTGTGTTATAATTGCATTGTCAATCTTCTGTTTCTGTTACTGGCTCCTGGTGGAGCCGTGTTTGTGTCCCTAGAGCCCACGTAGTATGTGGTTTCTTGGTATACTTTTGCTGATCTTCCCATTAACCCTATAAAAATATAGCTTATTATTTGCATTTTACAGGTGAGAAAAGTTAAGTTCAGAAAGGTGAATTCCTCAAATTGCTGAATTAGGATTCAAACCCTTGGTTTTCCCATTGTATTGTGCTGTAAGCATAAGGTCCCCAGCTCTTCAGTCTGTGGACTTACATCCAGGGGTGAGGCTCTCCTTTGTTTTCTCAAAAGAGGACCTGTAGGGATGTCTTTTTTCTTTTTTTTTTTTTTTAAAGATGACCGGTAAGGGGATCTTAACCCTTGACTTGGTGTTGTCAGCACCACGCTCAGCCAGTGAGCGAACCGGCCATCTGTATATGGGATCCGAACCCGGGGCCTTGGTGTTATCAGCACCGCACTCTCCCGAGTGAGCCACGGGCCGGCCCAGGGATGTCTTTTTTCAAGGCCCCTTTGTTTTTTTCCTGGATCTCACTATTCATATTTTAGCCGTTTCTCCAAATGATAGCAGACTCTCTGGGCAGATATGGGAAGGAGACAGGGAAAACTGAAACCTATGCAGTTACTCTATATAGGTGGGTTTATTTGGGCCGGGGGGTAAGTCTTGGGCAAAAGATAGTTTAGGAGTCCTCTGTCCATATCAGACCCTGGGGATCAGGCCATCACTTTTTGCACCTTTTCTTTTAAATGGAAATAAAAGATGACTTCTTCCTATCGTGGGGAGCTTGCAATCCAAGTTAGGAGTGGTTCCAGCAGAGAGACTGGAGATAGACTTTTAAAAGTCTGAGTTAAATCACAGTTTGCATTGTTCACAAATAACAGGATTAGAACACTTGGGGGTGGTGAATGAAGAAGGCATTGCTTTGGTCACATGTTGGGGACGGCTCTACTTCTCTGTTTGTCCAGGAACAGTTTCCAGGCGGAGGCTAGGTGTCTGGATCTGGCTGCTTCAGGGACAGCCCCAGATACCTTTCTTACCATCTCCCTCCCCAGGCCAGGTAGGCCACCAGGCTTTTCCTTTTGCTGTCCCTGAAGCTACCCTCATGAAATCCTCCTGGCCCCTTTTAGGCCTTTTTCTTTCTGGGGTGGAGTTGGAGGTGGTGGGGGGAGGTTGAAGTCTGAGGGTTTCTTTTTGTTCGTTTGGTGTAACAGTTTTTTCCTGTGAGTGGTTCCAGGATGAACCAGAATCAGTCCCACATCTGTGCTGGATACTTCACACGGTCCTTACTGTGAGAAAAGAGGAAGGAAGAAGAGGGGACAGAACCCTGAGCAGCATGCCTGTCCTTGTCTGTTCTGCAGGTCTCTGCTCTCAGCTCACTACAAACCGTGAGAAGTTGTGAGCTATTCTTATTGGGAAGCGAACTCCCCGCTTGGGTTTTCTAGATCTTAATATTTATGGCCATTCAGCCACAGCTCTCTACTCTGTACTCATAAATACAGTGTATGGAACTCTTAATACCTTGAATTTTAGACTTGAAAAATAGAAAGAGTAGAGATCTAACTTATTTTAGGCACCCAGATAAGATAGCCATATGAAATTGCAGGAAGGCTGTATTAGGTGTTTTTGTAAATATCCAGGCGGATGAATCTTTCCAAAATACAGCACTGACCGTATTATTCCTCAGCTGGAAAAATCTTAAGTGGCTCCACACCATTGTCTTTTTTTGTTTTTAAACATTCTATTGAAATATAACATACAGAAAAGTGGCATATTCTAAGCTGGATTAACTTTTACAGGCTGGAAGCACACATGGTACTAGTGTCCAGATCAAGAAATAGAATGTTACCAGCACCTCAGACCCTTTGTGACCCTTCTCAGTCACTCTCCCCAAAACAGTAACCAGTATCCTGACCTCTAATAGCACAGATTCATTTTGCCTGTTTGTATTTTATACAAATGGAATTCTGCAGTCTGCGCTCTTTTGTGCTGGCTTCTTTGGCTCAGTATCTTATGGATCCTCCATTCTCACTTGTGTACAGTACTGCACTGTGTGACTATACCATGTTTTATCTATCTATTCCCATTGTCTTTGGAATTGAATGTAAACACCTCTCCCTGGCATTCAGGGCCCTCCGTGGTAGAGCCTCCCCTGTTTCCCACCACTCCCTGCACATACAGCCCTTACTCCACCCTGGGCATCTGATCGTTCTACTGACCTCGTGGAGCCCTGGCACAGACACCTCTGGGTGCTCTTCTGGACTCTGGCAATACAAAGGTGAATACGACCCAGTTCCTACCCTCAAGGAGTCAGTCTATAGAACATGGACTGTTTCCTTTCTATTTCTGGGCCTTTGCTCTCGACGTTTCCCTGGATATAGAATGTTCTTGTCCTTTAACTCTCATCCTGCCTACTGAATCCCCATGTGTACTTCAGGGTCCTCTCAAATGCCAGCTGCTCTGTGAAGATTCTTGGGGCCCTCTTCTTAGTGACTTTTCTCCCTGCTCTGATCTCTCAGAATACTTTTTTTTTTTTTCCTTTTTGTCTTTTTTTCGTGACTGGCAACGGATCGCAACCCTCAGTGTTGCGCCCGTACCGGACCGGGACCGGCAACGGGATCGCAACCCTTGGTGTCGCACCCGCACCTCACTCAGCCAGTGAGCGGCCGGTCTGTATGTGGGATCCGAACCCTCAGTGGGAGCGCCGCCGCACTCTCAAGCGGCGCACTGTAGCAGTGCGCCACTGGGCCGGCCCAGAATGCTATTTTAATACCCCTCTTTTAGCACTTATGGAGGTTACTTGGCCTTTTGGACATTTGGGAACTTACCTGTTCCCTTTTACTTCACTGTAAATTTTTCGAGGTAGGACTATATTTTGTCTTTTTTTCAAAAAATCAATGCCTCATCTAGTGCAGTTACTTATGCATAATTTCTGCTCAGTGATTATCAAATTGAATTGAAGGAGAAGAAGAGCAACATTTTTGAAGCTTGGGATACAGGGGAGGCCTTGGCCAAGAGAACATGTGGAAGTGGGGCTGGTGAGGGCAGAGCAGCCCATGTTTAGAGGACGTATCATAGAGAACACTGACTTTGCAGTCACAAGACGTGGGCGCGCACTCCTTTATTTACTAGCTTTACGAATTTGGGCAAATGATTAACCTTTTAAAGACTTAGTTTCTTCATATGTAAGATGGGGACATAATAATTGCCATTTCACAGGGTTGTTGTAAAGCGAGATAATATTTGTGAACATACTTCATGAACCATAAAACTCTATGTGATGTTAGACATTTTTGACTCCCCAGAGGCGTTGGCGCTGCCAGTATTGTCACCGTGTCTGTCTGCTGTACTGCAGGGCCACCAAACATCTGAAGTCCATCTTTTCAGCTTTGTTTATTGTAGCTCTCCCGTCTCCCCATGGAAATTCATAGTAAAACTCCCTCAGAACATTGTGGGGTTGCATATCTGTCTCACCACACGTGAGCCCTTGGGGACTGGGCAGCGTGCTTTTCATCTTTGCCTCCACTCCTGGCTTAGTATCTGGTTCTTTGAAAATGTTTGTTGATTGAATGACAGGCCCCACCTGGCTGCAGCACAACTCTTGGGAAGTGAGTGATATCCTAGATTTATTGCCATTTAGGATATTTTGCTCCTTGCCTTAGATCCCGAGTTGAAGGGAAATCATGATGAAAGGGTCTTTGTCACGAGTCAGCTAGTTTATTGACTCCCAAGATGGGTGTCTCAGGTTAATCTGCTACTTGAAAGCGCAGGACCCAAAGCGGTAGCTGCAGCCTGCCTTAAAGTCTATCTTACCTCCTACCCTATCCCTTAATGTTTTCCAGAGAAATGTTTTTGAAGAGACCAGACAACATCCAAGAATTTGCTGCAGGTAAGCAAGGCAGCATCAGTGTTGGGTGTCTGACAAAGCCAGTGCAAGGACTATATCAGTGTAGAAACAATTGTGAATTAGACTCGAATGAGCCCAGGATTCTCCCTGCACAGTCTGGGGGACTCCTTCACCTCCTGTCCCTCAAAGGAGCTTTTTTGAGAAGGCTTCTTTCCTCCATTGTCATTTTCTTAAAATGAGGACAGATAAGAAATGAGGCAGAATTTCCTCATGGTGAGTACTGTTAAGAATTTTGAGATTCCCAAAGGAACATACTGGCACCTCTTTCCCTGGGAATCTTAAAGCAGGGTTCTCAACCCTGGCTTCACGTTAGGATACGATCGCCTGGGCAACTTTAACAAAAAAATACTGATGCTCAGGCTCCACCCCCAGAGATATTTATTTAATTTTTTGGGGGGTGGGGCCCAGCATCCATAATTTTAAAGGCTCCCCAGGTGATTCTAATGGACTCAGCTGCCAAAGGTGACTTAAGGTCAATGGTATTTAGAAGGAAGGGGCAGGCTTGGATTATTTCTTGGGTCTTGTTAGCCCTGGGAGCTGGTTACATCCTCAAACTGTTTCTAAGTACGTCTTTGCTGCCACAGCAGATGCCGCCTCTGATTCACATTATGCTGGGTGTATAAAAACCCTCTTCTGTCGTCATCCTGCAAGAGCCTGGCTCTTCTCCGAGAGGGTATTCGCAGAGAGGCGTGATATCTCAGAGACAGGAGCTGGCAAGCTGAGTTGAGACAAGAATAATCTTGGCATTTATTTTGGCCCCAAGATGGGCTGGGTGCAAGCCCAGAGACGCCCTGAGCCCTCTGATGGCTCCCTGGGCACAGCAAGCAGGCCGAGGGCACAGTGTGGAGGGAGTGAGCCATCCTGTGGAAGCCCTTTCTGGGAACAGTTGAGCTGGCAGACTCAGAACTGCACGGGTGGGATTTGCTGTGACATCTCATATTACGTGCTAAATAAAGCAGGGTCACCAGTAACAGACCTGCTAGGACCAAGCACTGTAACTTTAGCAGAATAAGCTCTCTCCCTCCCAGTGTTTTCCCCTTGAGTGTAGATGATTTCTTTTTGATTTTTATCCCAGACTATTTCACGGATCCAAGACTTCCCAACAAGATTCACATGCAGCTAATTAAAGACAAGAAAGCAGCTTAATTAGCAAACTCGTGATGCTCAGCTGTTGCGAGAGACCAGACAGAATCCAGCCTCGGGGTGGGTGTTAACCTCACTTACAGACAGAGGCTTCTTTACTCTTGTGAAATAAGCACTGGTTTATTGGTCCAGGATGTGAAAGAAATCGAGTGGAGAAACTAAAGAGAAGTTTAATGCAAGTGTTTAGTTTTCTTGACACTATTTTGGGGAATTCAGTACTGTGAATAGAGGCCCAGGGCTGGTCTAGCATGTCAGTTTGGCAGGAATCTTTTTAATCTAGTGAAATGGATTAAGAGGATGAAAATGGGAGTAGTTCAGGGGTAAAGAGAATGACAGGGAAGTGAGGATGGGGCCTGTTAGCATCAAGAGGGTGCTCCTGAAAATGGCCTTTCTCTTATGACCTTGCCGGTGAGAGGGGAGGGGGTTTCCCTATTTCTTCCGGAGGGGTGGGAACAGTTTCTCTCACTGCATCTCGGATTAGGCGCCTTCCTACTCCCCTCACCTTCAAATGAGGCTGTGCCATTAAGGCCATCACATGTTTCTCAGGCAAGATGATTCCTGAAACAATTTTGAAAGCTGGAATTTTTTTTTTTTTAAATGCGAGGTGGGAAAATGCCACACTAATTTAGTGGAACCATTTCTGTTTTGCAGGGTCATCTGGAAGCATGAGGGCCGTGTTGCCATAAGTGTGGGTTTCCAAGCTGCCTTGGGCTCTGTCTGCTGTCGCATAGGCTTTTAAAGATCCTCATTAAAAACAGACCTTCCTGTGCTCTCTGCTTTATTTCACTCGGAAGGAGGAAGACAGCTTTCATGGGAGGCTGCCCTGCCCCACTTTGACCTGTTAGGCAGCAGGCCTGGTTCTATTTTGATGGTGGCTGGGGCCTCTCACGGTCAGTGGGATGTTTCCACTCCAGCCATTCACCCCCAGAGCCATGATTGGTGCAGAGAACAGGGCTGGGGACCCTGAGAGGACCACAGCTGGTTGTGGTTGTGTAGAAACAAGCAAGTCCACACTTCAGCTGCAGTTTTTATTTTTTCTTTATCTTACCTCCTGGGTTACTATGCAGAGTGAAAGCTGATGATTAACTTTTACTTCCATAGAAGCAATAGTAAGGAATTGGGCTGGAAGGACAAGAGAGTAGGAGATTAGACATAGAAACCGTATTCAGGGTCATGAATATTGTAAAACATGAGCCTAACGTGACTCAGGGAGGGTGTGGGCTTTGTTCTCGAGGAGTTTTAGGAACAAGCTGCCCATCCATTTGATTTTCACCTAAGAGGCCGGGGAGTGGGCCTTTCCAGGCCTTTGGGGATTGGGGGTCTTTCGTGTTTATGTCCTTACCCCTCTGGCCTCCACAATGCACTGGCTCCACTGTATGAAGAACCTCTCACCTGTGTGTCACTTGTCAACATCACCGTGGCAACAGAAGCACAGACCAAAGCAGGGGTTGTATTATTTTTATTTCCCTCGTCTCTGCCTGACTTGTTTCCAGCTGCCATCACCTGCAGTAGTAGAGAGGGCAGCAAAACAGGGCATTTAAAGAACTACTGAAACGACACATAATAAGCTACGGGATTGAACAGCAATCCGAGGAGTTATTTTTAAGTGCTTTCAGAGTCACACTTTGGCAGGTACGGCACTGACAATGAGACATCCTTTAGAAAATCCAAATGAGGCCTTCAGCAAAAAATACTCTTAGAACCCTTCCTGGGAAAAGAGACCTGCAACAATGTGGGGAGAGAGCAAAGTGGTTTTCCAGATGCTTGAGTGCATGATTTAATACGAGATTACAGTGCTTCATTCTTGGGGAGTTTCTTGATAGAAATGCATTTTAAAAAAATGTATACGTTTAAAATACATTTTAAAGCCTACGTAAGTAAAGAATGAATTTAACACATAGTCATAGTGAGTCTACTTTTAGTGAGATGCTGTGCTAGGTTCTGGGGATAAGAGGACAGACAGTCTTGCCACACAGTTTATGGTCTGGGAAGATGGACAACTTTTCTCCCATAACCTCACCTGTCTGAATATCTCACCTATTAGACTGAAAACTCTGTGAGGTCAGGGACTAGACCTAAAGGACTAACTTGTTCACTACTGAATTTCTGGCTCCTAGCAGTGTCTGACAAATAGCAAGTGCTCAGAAAGCATGTGTAGAGAGAATGAATACAAGAGTAACTGAATGAGCAATCACATTTCAGTTGCGCCTCATGGAAACCAGCATGTGACGGATAAGAAAGGGTTTACCAGGCAGACCTGGGGAGAGGTGTGAAGTGGTCAGAGCACCTCGGGTGCTTCTGTTCTGCTGAGCAGGAAGGTGGTGTCAGACTGTCTGTCATCTGCTCGTTCTTATTACTCTTCCTTGCTAACAGAACTCCAGGTTTGTTGAGGGCAGCAGTGGGCTCAGCCCAGGTAGTTGATCATGTTTGATCTAGGCCAGCCGTAACAGTGACATGCCCTGATTTCCCAGCCTTCCTTGCAGCCGGGGCAGCCATGTGTCCATGAACTGTAGGGAAGGGGTGCTGGGGATTCTAGGAAAGTTTTTGCTTTCTTAACAAAAGAGGGAGAGAGGTGACAGATTAAGCTGGTGTAGCCCTCCCTTTCTTTCTGGTTTGGACCTGAATGCAGTGTCTACATGAGCAGCCATCTTAGGATGAAGTAACAAGTGTGGGGTGAAAGCCAGTCCTCTAAAGATCGAAGACTCGTGAGCCCTGAAGGCATCTCTGAGCATGTGACTAGCACAGCAATCACCTACCTTCAGACTTCTTGGCAAGTGAGAATGGTGAATCTCTTGTTTTGAAATCAAACAAGAGTTTAAATCCTGATCCACCACTTACTAGATGTGTGGTCTTGGCCAAGTCACCTAAGTTCCTTGAGCATTAGGTTTCTCATCTATAAGATAATACTGGCAGTGCCCACCTCTCAGGGTTGTTTGGATTAGAGACACAGAATGGACAGTGCTGGTGTGGGGGAGGTGTGGAAGGTGCAAGGTTAGGCGTAGTGAGAGGAGATGCCAAGGACGGTGGGACAAATCACAGCAGGCACTATGGACTAGGCAAAGGAGGTTAGATTTTTATCACATAAGCCATGGAGAACCTGTGAAAAATTTTAAGCCATGAGGAATTCACGAAGGGATTTGCATTTAGAAAGTGTGATAGTGGGGCCGGCCCGGTGGCGCACTGCTACAGTGCGCCGCTTGGGAAGCGCGGCGGCGCTCCCGCCGAGGGTTCGGATCCCACATGCAGACCGGTTCCCGCTCACTGGCTGAGCGAGGGGTGGGCGCAGCACCGAGGGTTGCGATACCGTTTCCGGTCCCAGTCCGGTACGGGCGGGACACTGAGGGTTGCAGTTCGTTGCCGGACACGGAAAAAAAAAAAAAAAAAAGTGTGATGGTGTGGAAGACAAATTACAGGAGACTAAGACTGGAAATGGAAAGGGCTGTAGGGAGACAACCACAGTCATCCAACCCACCATTTCTCACCTGCACCTCTTCAGTCACTTCGTACCCAGTCTCTTTGCTGACTCTCCTGTTCACTATCAGTTAAGAATGTATTTAGCTGCAAGTAACAGGAAACCCAATTTGATTTGTAGTGGCTTAAACAAATGTTTTTTTTTTTTTTTTTTCTCACCTAATATGAAGTCTGGTGGTAGGCAAGATACAAAAGTTCAATGTCAACAGGTACCCAAACCAGGCTTTTTCTGTCTTTTCGCTCTTTTAGCTTTAGCCTGTCACCTCATGGTTGTAGGAAGGCTCCTGCATCCCAGGTGTCATTTCTGTGTTTCGGGCACGGAGAAGGGCAGAGAGCCATATCAGCTGACTCCATCCCTTTTTATCAGAAAAGAAAAGCTTTCTTGGGAGTCCTCCCCATCTGTGTCTCACAGGCCAGACCAGGGTCATGTGGGTCATCCCAAGCTCAACAGAGACCAGGAAAGGGAGCAAAAGGAGATTGGGAATAGCTGTCGGGACAGCCCCAAAGCAGTGTCTGCCTCACCTGCACTCCCTGCTTCATTCTCCATGTAATAGCTAGAATGAGCTTTTAAGAAACCTAAATCAGAGTATGTCACTCTCCTGCCTAAAACCCTTCAGTGGTCTCCTATGAACCTAAAATAAAATCCAGATGGCTCTCCAGGGGATACAAAGCTTTGCAAGACCCCCTCCACCTCTCAGACTTTATTTTCTCTTTCCCTCCCACCTCAGTGTGCTCCAGCCACGCTGCTCTTTTCTCTGTTCCTCAAACATGCCAGCGTAGTTCCCACCTTAGGGCCTCTGAACTCTGCCTGATTTCTCTTCCTCAGATCTTCACATGCCTAGTTGTCTAAGCTGAGATACCCTGTGCTGAAAAGAAGAGAAAACCCCAGCAAAAGTAGCTTAAACCAATAGGGCTCGCTTTTCTCACATAGTGAGTCTGGAGGTGGCAACTGCTTGTGTTGGTTCAGGGCCTGCATCTGTGGAATTTTCTTATTTTCCCTTATGGTCAGAGGAGCAAGGAGACCAGGAAGGGACTGTGCCAGTGATACTTGTCTTTCTTTTCAGGAAAGGAAAGTTTCCCCAGAACACCCCCTCCTCCCCACGTGCCTGTCACTAGCATCTCACTGGCCAGAACTGTGTACATGCCCCCTCTTTAAAGGAGGCTGGGAAATCGAGCATTTAGGCGGCACACCAACAGTTCCCTAGATAGCTTCTTGTCACTGTCTCAGACTGTCCTTTCCTAGTGATCCAACTAAAGTAGACTCCCCCAGACATTTAAAAATATTTAATTAAAATAATATTTTTCCCCAGCTGTTTTCCATCACATCACCCTCTGTGTTTTCTTCATAGCACCTATCACTGTCTGGTATTGTCTTGTTTATTTTGTTGTTGTCTGTGGCCCCAAGAATGAGTGAGATCAGGCCTTGTCAGTGCTGTTCATCACTCCCTGGCCAGCAGTCCCAGCAGTCTGGCCCAGGCAGCTTGCTCAGGACACATGTGCTGAGTGACTGCATGGGTGCGTGGAGGCATGGGCAGTTGGAGGACTGAACTGCAGGACAAGGCCCTGACCTGTGCAGTGGCATGAAAATAGGAGATGAATTTAAGACATTTAGGAGGAGGAATTGACAAGACTAGAGATTTGAATGCAGTGGAGCTCTAAGAGAAGGTGTTGATTCTGGAGTGTCTTCCCATGTTTCTTGCATGGGCAGGGAGTGGGGTGATGGGATCATTCACTAATACAGAGGGGAAGTAGGTAGGTGTAGGGAAAATGGGGGATGAATTTAGACCAAAAGGTTTCCAGTGAATTTGCAAATGTGTGATGTGTGATATCAATATGAATAGCTTTGGTGGGTAGGCTGAAGTCAGACTGCAGTGGAATTAGTAGCAATTGTGAGATAAGGCTGTGGAAATTTGATACACACTGCCCCTGGAGACAGCTTTCTAGGAGCATGGCTGTGAGAGGAAAATGGAGGAAGGGCAGTAGTTAGAAAGGGAAGCAGGGTCAAGGGTGGGCTCTTGTAATGGGAGATGCTTCAGTATCCAGTGATCTGACATTTTCATCTCTGATCTATTAGGCTAAAAGAGGAGCTTCTTGGAATTGCTACTCAGATTGGACCTGATATCAAGAGAGCAAACACATGAGCTAATAAGGGGGCTAGAGGCAGACCTGGCTTTGCCACTAAGTGATCTACAGCAGCCTCTCTTGTGTGGGTTCCATGTCCTCAAAACTGAAGTGGTAGCTCTCACACAGGCTCGCAGTAAGGGTTGCTTCAATATTACCGTGCTCACAGGCTGGGAG